AACATGGAGAAAACAAAGTCGAAATGCTATTGTATCATGATATCGGAATATGTCCGATATCATGATACAATATTATTATTTTCTTATGATAACTTCATAATAAAAATGGTATTAGAATAACCTAAGCCTGGTATTTTTGAACTGCCGAGTTAGTATGTTGTTAATGACAATGAAAAAATCACTAATTTAAATATCAGTACTGAGAAACTTATTCAAACTCTGTGAATAATGCACAAAAACTCATAATAAAGATGATATATATTCTCTATTTAGTCAAAACTAATTTTAACTATAGGTGTGTAGCGACAGATTACTGAAAAAAAAAGTTCACTGGAAAGCCGAGTTAACATTTCTTAGTAAAAAACAATGAGAAGCTGATAAGTAATGTGTATGTGTGGTATATATATATATATACCTAATATATACAATATATATACTACAGAGAGAGAGAGAGAGAGAGAGAGATCATTATGTATTTATATATACATATATGTATACAGAGAGACAGATTGAGGTATCCTTTGATATACCTGTTTTGGCCAAAATCCAATTTCCATTTTGATCTCAGTAATTCACGTTTATTTGGCAAAGATCTTAATGTATGCCATATTCACGCATCTCATTGAATTCATTCTTTCCGTCTCCGTTACAGAAGCGACTCAGACTACTAGGAGCACACTGGTGCGATCTGACATGAAATTATTAGTTATATGTATTTATACATTTTACCTTAGATATAAAGTAAATCCTACTAATTTTTAGGTTCACTATGATGTGTATAATTGCGTGTTTCTGTGTCTATGCATGTCTATCGGTAAATCTTTGTGAATATTAAGGCCACCATCGACAGTGATGCATGTGTAACAGTTATTAACAAAACATAGATATATAAAATTCATCAAGTCATTGTGAAGAATACTTTAAACATCGGCTCAGCAGCAACATCATTTGTACTATATTTCAAAACTTCATTGACCATACGGTCTAATATACAAATTATGTATGTTTTCATTTGTAGTACCATAAAGTTATGGAATCATACTGTTTTTTCTTTTCATTAGGAAAATCAGGTTCTGAATTCTCGTTAGGTATTTCCCTTTCTTCTTTCAAAATAAATGAGCGAAGTTTCATGTAAGATTTTACTGATACTAAAGTTCGATTTAATATGGGATGTAAAACCGGTAAAGATGAAGATTGCTTGTTTATTATAGTATCATAAAGACCCGAGTTCAATAAATATCCTTAGTGCTGTTCTTTACGCATAGGAGGGAGTGGGAGGCTTGTAGGAAGGCTGAGGAGGACCATAGGAGGCTTTTGGGGTAGGATACTGAGCCTCTCCCTCGTAGGTTACATCAGCCACGTAACCGGAATCTCCGTTCACATTATAGGTGACCCTCTGCAGACGACCATCGGGAAGAAGGACGTAGTAAGATCCCTGTGTGCTGTCTCCATCACGGGCTTCCTCATGTCCGAAGTCGTTACCAGATGGCGGGTCGTTTACAGCATAGTTGAAGTCGTACCTAGCGGGTGCATAGGAGGGTGTGGGAGCAGAGTAGCCATATGTAGGTGGGCTATCTGGACGGGCGATAGCGACGACCACAAGGGCGGCCACTGCAAAAACCTGTAGTACAGTTAACTATTAATATCATAATAATGTTATAATATTAATGTGTTGAAAAAGGATATTTTTATACTTTTAGTGACATTTAGAGGCCAGGAAATAAACTATTAAACTTCTTGAACAATTTATATATAGGATATACCTTGAATGCCATGTTAGTTTCAGTAGACTGCGATGAGACTGGAGACGACAGAGAGAATCTTTCCATTTATACAAAGTCCAAGAAAAACTCCGCCTATTATGACGTCAGAATATACCATCCCAATCAGACTGCCTTGATCTTGTGACCGAGTTTCCCCCTCCAGTGATATTACAGAAATGCGAGTCTGAATTTTACTTTTGTAGGCCACCTGTTTTTGCTCATGATAATTTACAAGATTAATCAATTCATGTGATTACTAGGAAGGTATCTGAATATCGATTGCACCATACACTGTAAACTTCCCTTTTTTGTACAGTTGTTTACAGACGATACTCTCCTCTTAGTATGATAATACAGGTATCATTAGGGTCTCTATCTAGACTAGATTTTCCAGAAAGCCAATACCCACCAGTATACCGATTACTGGAAAGCAAGAGCTTATTAGAAAATAGATACATAATATATTTAGTTCCCAAATTGATTTTGAAGTACAAATGATGTGCTTATAAATATATTAATGGCCGGTGTTAATTTAAGACTACAGGAGACGTAGCTCGATCTTTTTCCATAGCTTCCCTGATGTATGATAAAAAATGGATATTTTCTAAAATAGATAAACAGAAACAATATATTAATAATTTTCAATGACTCACTAAACTATATTATTACTAGGAATAACTGCCGGAGGATTTTAATCTTTAGACAGAGGAGGTGGATATTCTAGTCAAAGTGTATGAAAAATAGCAAAAAGTTATGCGTTCGTTTCTTATTTTTCTCCTATCTTTTATGGAGGGGGTTAATTTTGTTTATTTTGTTGAGGCGAAAAGAAATGTTTCTTTCAGACCAAGTCTATAAATATTTACATATCATATTATAAATGTCTCCATCAAACTTAAAATAAGGGAAACCATTCAACCGAACCGAACCCCAAAGCCCTGAAATGTCTAGCTACGACTCTATTGATGTGACACATGTATGCAAATGGAGATATGTATGTATAAATGTAAGTATGTGCATACATATGTGTATATATATATTTATGTGATGTATATACATACATTATATATATTACATATGCATACATACATGAATATTTGTACATACATCTGTATGTGCGTACATATGTATATGTATGTGTGTGTATTGATAAACATATACACACACATATATGTGTGTGTGTTAATATATATGTACATATGCATGTTTAAGTATGTGTAAGTGAGCATACATGCATATATACATATGTATACATATATTTAATGTGTATATATATGTGTATATACATGTGTATACATATATCTGTATGTATATATATATATGTGTATATACATATATGTGTATGTGTGTTTATGTATATATATGGTATGTGAGTGTGTGTGTGTGTGTATGTGTGTGTCTGAACAAATATATATACACACATATATATATTTACATATATATATGTGTGTGTGTGTTTGTGTACACTTGTATTTATGCATATATGAATGGCGCTCACTAAAGATTTCCCCTTCCGCTTATCCTAGCAGGCTGAAATTACACGTGCATGTATATATATACATGCATACACACGTGTGTGTGTATGTAGTATGTAATGAAAAGGAATGGGATTCTCTAAGTTTCCTGTGTCTCCATCTAAGATTAATTACGTATAATTTATGTATATGATTAAAAACTACGTAAGTCGAAGTATGCTTCTTTATTACTTAAATTTTACAAAGTTTCGAGATCAATAAATATCTAAGGCCCTACATCCTAAGCATAGGAGGGGGAAGGTGGCTTGTAAGAAGGCTGAGGAGGACCATAGGAGGCCTTTGGGGTGGGGTACTGAGCCTCTCCCTCGTAAGTGACGTCAGCAACGTAACCGGAGTCGCCGTTCACATTATAGGTGACCCTCTGAAGACGACCGTCGGGAAGAAGGACGTAGTAGGATCCTTGTGTGTGGTCGCCATCACGGGCTTCCTCATGTCCGAAGTCGTTGCCAGACGGCTGGTCGTTGACGGCGTAGTTGAAGTCGTACTTAGCGGGTGCGTAAGAGGGTGTGGGAGCAGAATAGCCATACGTAGGCGGGCTATCTGGACGGGCCATGGCGACCACCGCAAGGGCGGCAAGTGCAAATACCTGAAGTAAATTTCAGTTATTAATATCATTTATGAGCTGAAGAACCAATATGCATATTTAATAGTAATCAGAAGCCAATAAATTAACTATGAATCTTCTTGAATAATGCACATATAGGATATACCTTGAATGCCATGTTTGAGGAAAGAGACTGCAATGAGACTGAAGACGACAGAGAGAGTCCTTCTATTTATACAAAAGTCCAAGCAAAACTCCACCCATGTCATGACGTCAGGGAATGCCATTCCGACAAGATTGCCTTGATCCTCCTGTGACCGAGTTTTCCCCTTCGGTGATGTTACATAAATGCGGGTCGGAATACCTTGTCTGAAGGTCACCTAGTTCGTTTTTTTTAGTAGTATTAGAGTAACGAGTGCAGATATGAGACGGATTAGATTATTAGATATCTGATTATATATGTATATGCGTGAGTCTCGTATAAAATTATTTAAACAATTATTTAAATTCAAGATACACGTATATATGTGTATGTCTTTTGTGTGAATATGTGTGTGTATGTATGTATGTATTGGTGTATCATATATATGTGTATATGCATGTATTTATGTTTTATATATATGTGTGTGTATAAATATGTATATATACATATGTATCATGCACATATATTATGCATGTACGCGTTTACACATATAAACATATACAAATAAATAAATATTGTTTGTCTTTCTATGTGTGTGTGTATGTGTGTATAATTCCCATACATACATATATGTGTGCCTGTGCATCTTTGTATGTATATGCTTTTAAATATAGTATTCAATGAAGACAGTTTTTTTTTAATCACCCTATATTATTTATACAGATGATATAAAACTACGTCCGATGCAGTATGGTAGTTTAATATTCATCATTTACAAAGATGCCAGATCAATAAGTATTCCAATCTTAAGCATAGGAAGGAGTGTATTTCTTGTAGGATGGTTAAGGAATCCTCTCCCTCGTACGTGGCATCAGCCACGTACTGCGTGTGGTCGCCATGTGCGTGTTTATGTGTATATACATATACATATGTACATGTGTGTGTGTATATATATGTGTGTGTATCTTTGGCTGTATATATAGTATGTAATGAAAATGGACTGGATTATTTCAATATTCATAACGGTGATGTAAGATGATGCATGCTAATCTAACACTTAATATTTACAAAGATCTGAGATCAATAAATATCCGAGGCGCAATATTTTTCAAGTATAGGAGGAGTGAGGGGCTTGTAGGATAGCTGAGGAGGGCCTTAGGCGGCCTTTAGGGCGGGGTAAATAAATAAAATGTAATAGATAACATGAATAAATAAAACGGTCATAGCTGCTCTAAATAAGTTATGCAATAAATAAATAGACGAAGCTGTCTAATAAATAAGAAAAATTATGTTCATTTTTTTCTTCACCAATAAAAACAGTCTAGTATAGATCTTCCGTAGCAAAAGATAAAGGAAATAAAACTGAAATAATGTATATATATATTTATTTAATGTCGCTTAAAATACATACTTGCCATCGATACATATTCCTATATGATTAGATTGTTCAACATAATTATACTTCGAAGAAATATATTTTAGGAATAGTCAGATTTTCAATTCCCCAGAATATAATTTAAAACATGTATTGGATATGAAACTATTAAAGATGAAGTTTGCATGTTTAATATCTAGTATTTACAAAGATCAGAAATCAATAAATATCTTAGTACTGTTCCTTAAGCATAGGAGGGGGTGGGAGGTTTGTAGGAAGGCTGAGGAGGACCATAGGAGGCCTTTGGGGTAGGATAGTGAGCCTCTCCCTCGTAGGTGACATCTGCCACGTAACCGGAATCTCCGTTCACATTATAGGTGACCCTCTGCAGACGACCGTCGGGAAGAAGGACGTAGTAGGATCCTTGTGTGTTGTCGCCATCACGGGCTTCCTCATGTCCGAAGTCGTTGCCAGATGATGGGTCGTTTACGGCGTAGTTAAAGTCGTACTTGACGGGTGTGTATGAGGGTGTGGGAGCAGAGTAGCCATATGTAGGCGGGTTATCTGGCCGGGCCATGACGACGACCACAAGGGCGGCCACTGCAAATACCTGTTGTATATTTCAGTTATTAGTGTCATTTATGAGATGAAGTAGCAAAATAACATTATTAATGACAGAAGCCAAGAAATTAACCATTAAACTTCTAGAAAAATGCGTATACAGGACATAACTTGAATGCCATGTTAGAAGAAAGACACTGCAATGAGACTAAAGAAGACGGAGATAGCCCTTCTATTTATACAAAAGTCCAAGTAAAACTCCACCCATGTCATGACGTCAGGGAATGCCACCCCAAGAAGACTGCCTTCATCCTCCTATAACCGAGTTTTTCGCTCCAGTGACGTCACATAAATGTAGGTCTGAATTTCATGCTTGAAGGTCATCTAATTTGTTTAATTATTATTCAAGATACACTTAGAAAATTCTATTCACGAGATGATGTATCTATATGATATTAATAATATAAATCTACAGTAGATATACACATGTCAATTTATTCATGCAATGATATTCGAATATTGAGTACACCATAGAGTACAGGTTTTCCTTTGTACAGTTGCATATGGACGATACTCTACTCTTACTATGACGTAATAACGCAGGTGTCATTAAGAAGGTCTTTAACTGGACTATATCTTCTAGAAGCATGTATCATAACTGAATACTTGAAAGAAATTAGAAACTACATACTTTATATATTTAGCTCTCAGTTTGATATTTTGATGATGCCAGTATATTTCTTAGTATACTATTGATCGGTATTTGTATCAGATCAAAATCTTTTTTTTTTCTGATGACAGTAGAAGACAATATGACAAAATATAGGGTGAATATAATTAATTATATATTCAATGTTCTATGATAGTGCTACAAAGAATGGCTAACGGATGACTTTTGACAGAAAAGATGGATGCTCTAATCCGTGGTTCTTATAATTATTCTCACCACCCAGCTTCATTTTGTACACTATCTTCGCGATACAGTATGCCCATTCTATCGTACTCCCTATCAGTTCATTTATTACTGTCTATTACTATCACTGTGATAGTAATAGACATGAACATGAGCCTGCGACCCGTACTTTAGTGAACCTGTGAACTATAATCGTAATAGATATCAATAAGGCACGCATTATTTTTCGAACATATCTTTATTATTCTGTGTTTTCAATAAATCAAAAAATCAATTTCTACTCTGATAAGTAGATCAATATTTCCATTTCCATTTAATCAGTTAATTTCAAGGAACCAAACCCCCAGAGCCCACGTGTATAGTTACGCCTGAGCTCAAGATTTTTTTTTTTTTTTTTTTTTTTTTTTTTCTTTTTTTTACTAATATAGTATCATGATTCGGAAAAGTGTCTATTAGTTTAGTATTCCGCAGTCAGTGCTCTCCAGACTTTATAAATGATTAAGATAAAACCTACAAATGAAATTTAGATCCAATTTGAAACGGACGACTCCATCTGTGTCTACAAATACATATGTGCATCCGTATGAATACATATGCAGCGCATCTCATTTATATAGATATATAGATATACCACATACGTAAGTAAACGATAAATAGTCAGTCAAACGTA